GCACAAATTCAGATTATTTTTCAATGAAACACTCTTAATTTCAGTTTTCATACCACTTTTTCCTTTTTTATTTAAAATATTATAACCAATGAACATACTAGATAACATTGTTTACATTCCAGTGGTGCATGTTTAATGACTAGGGCATGAATGATTAAAAACCACAATAATGACCTCAGCATTCCCTACAAGGGGCCCCGTTCAGTTCTGTCTGAGGAGGAGCGGATGGGGAGGCGTGGAGGAGGAGTGGCGTCCTGCAGGGAGGAAGCAAACTCAGTTACCACACTTGGGCTGCAGGCTGTTCCACCTGTGGAACAGGGTGAACCGTAATGAGAAAATAGACATCACAGTCCAGGTGGACAGCTGGTTCAATTTAAATTCATCACTCGGCTAAAAGTTTAAGAGCTTCTCAAAAATATACCAAATATCGGGCCTACAAAAGTAATTTATTTCTTCGTAAAGTTTACTTAGATTTAGTCCTTTTGTAAAATGTAAAGAATGGGCTGATATCACGAGCAGGTTTCTACTTACACAACAGACAGTAATAACGTACAACAAGCTCATCTAACACAGTTTTCCAAGATATACAGTGACAGGTTTTACTCGGGAGTCCCTCTTACTGATGCCAGGATGCGCTCCCCATACGGACTGGCACGTGTCAGCACTGGCTGTGAAGTGTCCACACATGTATAATCACACTCAGGAAGGAGCGAACAGAAGGGCAACGGCTTACTCGGGAAAGCATAGAAAATTAGTGTGAGGTAGTTCAATACAAACCTAGTTTAATTTGTAAGTTGTTGTGAGAATAAAACATTGTGCAAAACTAATCCACAGGTAATATTTCTTAAAAGTTTCAGTAACGAAAGAATCTAAACCAGAAATGGCCAGGAAAGTGTTACTCTTACTAGACTCTCCTAAGAGCACTTAACTAAGAGCAGTTAGTTTGAAATTAATTAGGACTTGTTTTCCTTATGAGTTTTCCAATCATACCCCAAACCACACATTTCTGCTTCAATGCCCTTTACCTCTTCATCTTTCTTGCTATTAAGGAAAAATTTGTTTCCCCTGATTCAGAAAAACCCTAAGAGAGATCAGTAGAAACACAACCTATGCTAACACACAAAGGGCACGGAGTCAATGTTTAAGAGGGCTGCTAGGGACAGAAGGTGCTGTGTGGTTTTCCTACCGGTAAGAGGAGCTTCCTGGGGACATGGGGCTTCATGCAGTCACTCTATAGCTAACGTGTGACTAACAAACACACTCACAAACTACGACAGGGTTTCTGAACAGACTATGCTTTCGCCGCAGAACGTGCAGGCTCTGCCCGGGCCACACTGAGTAGTTAAGTCCTCGCGCGGCCGTGCTGGCCGACAGCGCAACTGTCCGACCTGAAGGCCAAGCAGCTCGCGTGCCTGCGGCCGGCTTCAACGTCAGGCTCTGCGTCTTCCCCTTCCTCTTGGACGGCTCAGCAGGGTGAGCACCGAGGGCGCTGCTGCCTTACACACAGCTGGCTTCTCTGGACCGGGGAGGGTTACGTGAACGGCTGCGCCTCCACCCACGTGGAGTGTGTGTGCCAGGAGCGGCCACCGAAGGTGTGCGACAAAGTGAGAACTGCTCAGCAAATAGTACGGAAGGGCTGAGCTGCTCGGTGTATGTATATTGTAATTAAGCAATCCCAACAACACAATTATTTTACAAATGGTCAATACACATTAGAGGGTAACATAATAGTAACCAGGAAATAATATGTAGAATTAGAATTAGTGTCTCTTTCCTAACCTATAAAGTTGAGTAATAGATCTTGGTCAAAATAATCTTCTAAGACGATGGGTACATTACGCGTATAGTTGAAAAACCAAAGTTTATAAGATAAACAAGGTGGCTTTACATTAAGTACTGCCAGACAGAAATCTTATTTGTAATTCTCTTAAAAAAACAAACACACAAATGTTTAAGATACTTTAAAGGTTCAAAAAGTTTTAAAAATAAAGCGAACATATATATCTTTAGCTTAACAAATTTAAGAGGGAACATTGTATTTAGATACTGCATTTTAAAAACCTAGGGCACACAACATTTAACAAACAGACTTTGTTTTCAAGATAAGAGTTTAAGCATATTGTCTACATTAACTAATGAGTTCATTTTCTCTCAATCAACTGAAACATGCTGGTCGGCAAGTGGGAGCTGGCATTTACAACAAACGATACAGTAACAACACCTGGGTTTCCTTGCTTAACCAAAATCTGTATCAATACAGATGGCTTATTAGCAATCAAACATAAACCATGGGAAGCTTCTGAAAGCATGTCAGTTGTTAAAGTGCAATAGTGAAATGGTCTATCCTAGAAAACAGAGCTAGTTCACTGTTGAACTAACATACACTAAGGACACACTCATGCTCAAAAGTCTCCGCACACCCAATCGTTTCTATAAGCCAAGGGATTAGTCTCAAAACTCTAATTTGCTTAATGAAATTAATGCACCATGTTGTATGAGTAGGAAAGGGGCTGATAAAAAGGTTGACAACTTCCAAAGAGACTGGAAATCATGACTTTAAACCATCAAAAACAAACTTGCTATTTCAAAGCATATAAAAAGGCTAACGTAGTTTAATCCTAAATATTGCACATTAACAATGATCTAAAATACCTCACTCAAAGGAATTTTGCACTAAATATACAAATCACATGCCCGGCAAGCTTTCCGGCACTGTGAGCTGAGCTGCACCAGCGCCTGCTCCTGCTGGTCACTAACTCCGATGAGCTTTCTGCTAGAGCCGTGTCCCGCATCTAACTATGCACTTGCTAGATCATTACACGAAATCCCTCTTGTTCCAAACATAACAAAAGGTGCCTGGGGCATCATAGACAATGTATTCAGAGATGAGACTTCAATGACATTTTACTTAAGAAAACTTCAGTTGTAGAGAAATAATTCTGCAGATATAAAATGTAAACAGTTACATCACTTGTCAGGAGCAGCACCATTCTTACACTACTCAACATCCACGTTGTGTGTTTTACTGAAAATCAGATATAAAAAATGAAAGACTCAGACTAAATAATCACCACTTATGCCTGCTCTGCTCAGTGTGGAGAAACAGTCCTTGGAAAATGGTATCTAATATATGGCTGTGTGCTACTATTTTCAGATGAACGGTATATTGCTCATTTGATACATTACCCACAGAAATCTAAGTAGGCTTTGAAACCTCCCAAGAGCTAGTAAAACATGACTATGCTACAGGTAGAATCAAATGGCCAGAAACAACGGAGCTGGTGCTCCACTGACTAACGCTCTACCAGGAAACCAGAAAGGACCAAGCCCGAGCCGCAGGAGAGGAAGGACCAGACCCACAGCCCGAAGCGATTAGCTCAGTGTTTACAAAAACAGACTCACAGCTCAGAGAAGTGAACCGTCCGCCTGTCTGCACTGAAATGTACCACTCATGACGTATCCTCTTGCCTGTGTGCCGTAAGCTTTGAGTCACAGACTTGCAGGACACAACATGCTCTTTTCACTTCACTTTTGTTGGGTGAGGGGGGGGGCAGTAGAAGGGTGGTGGTGGGTGCCCAGCATCTTCAACGACATGCTCTGAGTTATTCTGCCATTTAGATGATGGGGCTTTTGCCAAAATTCATGTAGGATTGCTATCAACAGTTGTAACTAAATTAGGATTGGCAAGTAGCAATATTGGAGGTTTTTAACGCGTTCATCGTTTACAGTAGTTATTCCTGAATACAACTGGCTACAGGTTACTTTCCCTCACTCCTCTGTGGTTATTTCATTGATAAGCACATAACCCTGAAGGATAGCATCATGAACAAAACATCTGAAATAATTTCTAATTAAAAAAACTATAAAAATCTTAAATAATTCATGATATAGGCAAGTCACCACATAATAGTTGCTTTGATAAACAAAATCTTACAAATTCAGTAAAAAAATCAGCAGCATAAGATAAAGCAAATATGCAAAAATTTTAAACCATGATAAAATAATTAGGTTTACATTATACAGTTAATTACAGCAAAAATACAATACAGTTTTGTTGCTGTTTTAAAACAACTTAAGTTTTAAATTACATCACTTGAAATTAAAAAAAATAAACTACTTTACTACAAAATGAATTTTACATTTTTGAAAAATCACTCAAAGTAAGACCACTGACTGAGTTTCCAAAGTAGTTCTATCAATGACTAAACGACACC